CCCCCCCCCCAAACTGGAGCTCCACATCCGCACTCAACACGTCCTTATCGTCCCCGACGGAACCCGAGCATCTCCCGAAATCCTGGATGCCATGACGGCGGCTTTGGATTCCAACACCCGTCTGGTTTTGGTCCCCGTGGGTCCGACCCCACTGCGCTGCGTGGGGCTGGACGTGGATCTGCGCCGTTGGACGTTGCGATACGACGCCCAGGGTGGCTGCGGGGCCGCGGATGGCGGAACGGCGGCTTTGCTGATGCGTTCCCAGGATCTTTTCAACCTCTCCTTCCCCACCGAACGTCCTTTGGATCTTGCCGTCTTCATCCAGGCGGCGTTGAGAGGTTGGCGGCTCCGCGTCCTCCGGCGCGGTTTCACCTCCGTTCCGTCGGCTTTGAGTTCGGCCCATCACGTCTGGAAGGCGCAGAACCTGAAGGATTCGCGGCGCAGGAGGTTGATGGAGGAATTCGGCATCAAGCTGGAGGTGTTGGAGGACGGCAGGCGGCGTTGGTACGGCTGCAGCAAGGAGACGGAACGCTGCTTCGGCACCATCCGCGCCCGCACGCCGCCGTATCTCCTGGAGGGTCGTTGGACCCCGCCGTGCTGCCTGAAGGCGTTGAGGGAAACGGCAAAACACGTGGTGGAAGTGCTGGAAAAGTCCGGAGTGAGGTATTGGTTGGAAGGAGGATCGTTGTTGGGAGCGATCCGATCGCAGGACATCATCCCTTGGGATTACGACGTGGATTTGGGGATTTACCGGGACGACGCCACCAAGTGTCAGTGGTTACGAGCGGCACGGAACGGCCCCGTGGAGGATGAGGAGGGGTTCGTGTGGGAGAAAGCGACGGAAGGGGATTTTTTCCGCGTCCATTACAGCCGCAGCAACCGCCTGCACGTCGATTTGTGGCCCTTTTTTCCCCGTGCCGGGGTGATGACCAAGGACACGTGGTTGGGCCACCCGCAGGACGTGGAGTTTCCCGAGCGTTTCCTGCTCCCCACCGTGCCGTTGCCCTTCGCTGGTTTCATTGCCATGGGGCCCAACAATGCCCGCGAGTTCCTGGAGCTGAAATTCGGGCCGGGGGCCGTGGAGGAGCCCGAATATCCCAACCCCGCTGTCTTGAGGCTGCGGCGCGGGGAGCCGCCCCAATAAATCCCTGCGGCGCCTCCGTGTGGCTTCATCCGCTTACGGGGTCCCATGAGCCATCCCATCGTTGCCCCCAATGGGGTCTCCATCCACTTTTGGGGTCCCCTGGGCCATCCATCAGGTCCTCATTGCCCCCAGTGGGGTCTCCATCCACTTTTGGGGTCCCCTGGGCCACCCATCAGGTCCTCATCGTCCCCAATAGGGTCTCCATCCACTTTTGGGGTCCTTTAGGCCATCCCATCAGGTCTCCAGTGATCCCAATGGGGTCTCCATCCACTTTTGGGGTCCCCTGAGCCATGCATCAGGTCCTCATCGCCCCGAGTGGGTCTCCATCCACTTTTGGGGTCCCCTGGGCCATCCATCAGGTCTCCGTTGACCCCCATGGGTCTCCTTCCACTTTTGGGGTCCTCTGGGCCATCCCAAGAGGTCCTCATCGTCCCCAGTAAGGTCTTCATCCACTTTTGGGGTCCTTTAGGCCATCCCATCAGGTCCTCATTGCCCCCAGTGGGGTCTCCATCCAGTTTTGGGGTCCCTCAGACCATCCCAAGAGGTCCTCATTGTCCCCATTGGGATCTCCATCCACTTTTGGGGTCCCCTGGGATCTCCATCCACTTTTGGGGTCCCATGGGCCATCCATCAGGTCCTCATCACCCCCAGTGGGGTCTCCGTCCACTTTTGGGGTCCTTCAGACCATCCCATCAGGTCTCTAGTGATCCCAATGGGGTCTCCACCCACTTTTGGGGTCCCTCAGACCATCCCAAGAGGTTCTCATTGCCCCCAGTGGGGTCTCCATCCACTTTTGGGGTTCCCTGGGCCGTCCATCAGCTCCCTGTTGACCTCCATGGGGTCCCCATTCACTTTTGGGATCCCGTAGACCATCCCAAGAGGACCCTGTTGACCCCAATGGGATCCCCATCCGAGATTGAGCCATCCTTGTCCCTCCCAAGAGGTCCCCAATGACCCCAAAAGGGCTTTCTACCCAC